CGGATGTGGTATGGAGGTGTGGTTGGGCTGCCGATTGGTGTGATGATTGATGACCCAGGCAGGGTGTGTCCACGCGGGGTGAGGTGTTGCTCCGAGGGGCAGATTATGACCCAAGTGGGATGTGTCCACGCAAGGTAGAGTGTTGATGCCGGCGGCGGCATCTTGTGACCTAGGCCAGATGTGTCCGCTCAGGGTAAAGTGTTGATGGCCGTGGGGGCAGCTTGTGACCCAAGCGGGATGTGTCCGCGGAGGGTAGAGTGTTGATGCCCGCGGGGTGGCTTCGTAACAGAGGCAAGATGTGTCTGCGCAGGGTAGAGTGTTGATGCCCGCCGGGGGGCTTCCTGACCCAGGCGAGATGTGTCCGTGCAGGCTAGAGTGTTGATGCCCCCGGGGATGGCTTCATGACCAAGGCGGGATGTGTCCACGCAAGGTAGAGTGTTGATGCCCCCGGGGGTGGCTTTGTGACCAAAGCGAGATGTGTCCGCGCTGGGTAGAGTGTTGATGCCCGCAGGGTGGCTTGTGACAATGGCACGCAGTTGACGAAGCATCTGCAGCCAGACGCGAGGTCAGAGAGAGAGTAACACTTGAAAGACGGGGTGGCGGAAGGTATCCATCATGCGATCTGTTGATGATGCTTTATTGGTGGCAGGGTAGCAAAAGATTTGACCGTGATGCTTATAGAGTGGCGCATGGGAGGGGAGGCGTCATAAGGTTTAAATGGCTGTAAAACGAGGCATCGTTGTAATGACACGTGTCCATGTAGTTTGGACGACGTGCTACTTGGGAATCGGCAAGCTTTGATGATGGGCCTATGGCTCCCATAAAAAGAGCCTAGGCCAGAGAGCGTGAGGGCAAATTTTTCCCCTTGTCTTTGTAAAGTTCCTTGCTTGCAACTCCTATTGGTGGAGGACGTGCAGAAACCTTTCTTTCTTGTGTGTTTTGTCGGGAGGCCATGTCCTGTGTTGGGGTTAGCTGTCAGGTCCCGACTTTGGGGCGCGTCCGAGCATTAGGGGTCTGGGTGAAGATGTTAGACCCAGCGGAAGGTGGCAGTGGATCTGTGATAGATGGTGGGCTTGTGGCTTCATGGCCTCTTTGTTTGTATGGAATCCATGACACGAGGACCGCGACCGTGTATAAGATGTGGAGGGTCAGCCACCCTGAACCCCAGGGGTGGTGGCTGGCATGTTATCATTTCGGCACCGGCTGACTTGTTGGTTCAGCGCTTGGGTGAACTATTGGTACGTAGAGCAGGGCCATTGTTGCTCTGGCCTTTGCTTATTGCTGCTCGGGTAACCAACTTCTAGTTGCTCATCCTTGACGACGGGTAGGAGAAAGAGGACGTGCTCTTTGGTTTTCTTCAAGCCTTGCTTGAAGAAATGGATGCAACCTCTTTGAGGGCACCAACACCGTGAGAAGGCAACAGAGCTTTTGAAGGTGTTGGATTCATTCTAGAATGGATGTACTTTTTTCTTGAAGTTAAAAATTTTATTGTAACAACAATCTTGCAATTCTTTTTGTTCATGAAATAAAATCCTCCTTTGCATTGAATTCTCCTTCTTTACCATGTGCACCTATGTGTGTGCGGCCATCACGCCGCTTTTATTTCCTTGGCTCAGTTCTTATCCCTACTAACAGTGAGGATAATAAATGGCCTATAGGACGCTTGTTGTGCCCATGGGGCAGCTGCCGCCCACTGTGACTTGGTGGTTGGGACTTCCTTGCGGGTTGTCGTCTCAACCGTTGGGGTATGCATCATTTCTGATTTTCACAAGAACCCCACACTTTTTTTTTTGGGACCATGAAGGGTCTCATGTGTGTGGGCGGGACGAGGAACGAAGTCCGCTTGCCCGCCAAGTGTGGCGATGCATGAGCACGCATCGAGCTTTTAAGTGGGCACGGGATTTGTTCCGGTCAAGAGGAGCAGAGTTGCCTACCTGAGCGGTGCTTTGACCATGGTAGGTGCGTCGTATTCGATAAGCCACGTCACGCATGCAAGGCAGTAAATGTTGAATGAGAGGGCTGTGTTGGCATTGTATGACAGCTTGATTACGTGTCCTCAATGCTCCCTTGAGACATGACTTGATCTTTCACACGTGTGGCACGTCGCCTCGCGTGTTGTTCGTACTTTTGTACCTCTGAATCACGAGACGTTTCGCTCGTGCGATGCTTCAAATCTTGAGCTGGTTATGCCTCGGTGACCCATTGTCGACGCTTGGGCCTAAATGCAGCCGACGTTCTCTCATGATTGGGCCACACATCTTTTTGTTAATTCGCCTCTCTATGGCTTTACAAAAAGAGGTGTGCTGAGGTGCTTTCACTTTCCTCAGGCATTTTCATCCGAAGTAGAAGAAACCTAGTCCCCTTTCTGTCTGCTTCCCTTCTTCATCGGTATTCTTGACGCAGAGTTCCTCGTTGTGCTCCTGCATCGACGGTGGCTGACACCAGCTCGACTCCTTCTCCAGGTAATGTTGCTTCTTTATTTGCTTGAGTGTACCCTTGGCATGGTCACGGTGCTATTTCTTTTGCTCTTGGGGCTAATCCTTTTTCTTTTGCAGCGGCTAAAGCACGCGAAAGTGGAGGCTTCTGATGACGATGCCGATTGGGGCTGAGGCTGAGGGAGAAGTCTCAGGTGTCGGTCTGGCGGCCTCTAGGACTTTTGTCTTGGGTGTTTTGGGAGCATCATGGAGGATGGAATCTAACCCGTCGATCCCTTTTTAAGCGCCGTTAATGCCACCAGGTTTTGAGGTTTTCACCTCAAGGGCACAGGCAGGGGAGCCCTCATCCAAGCATTGTGCAACCCACCTCGTGTCTTTGGGTCTCGTGGGCAGGGATCCCACGCCCGATGTTCTGCCCTCTACTTCTGCTGGTTGTGCGGCCCTGGTTCCATCGACGTTAGAGGTTCGAGGGCTCACTATGAGGTGCATGGTTCGGGTAGGCGACAGGCCTCAAGGGGATGAGGAATGTGCTCTTACTAATCTCAAGAAGGAGATCGAGGTCGTTAAGGTTTGTGCGGTAGACTTAGAAGCCATGTACACAAAAAGGGAAACCTTTGACCAAGCTGAAGGAGTTACTAAGGGATCTCGCAGACTGAGGATTTGTGGCCATCTTAAGCGAGGCCGCAGTGCCGAAGATCCTCGATGCACACATAGCATCCTTACGAGAAAGATTGGCGAAGTGGCGGATGTTCCTGAAGGATTATGAGGTGGAGAGGGAGAGGCTTACCGCCAAGAATGCTCACTCGATCGATGAAAAGGTCGAACTCTCATGTGAGCTAGTGGACGTAGAGGGTGAGATCGCCTCCCTGCAAGTCTGTGCAGCTGATTTGAGAGCTCGCAGGCATCAGAATAGGGAGGTGATGGCCGTGAGGTTTCGCAAACTGATGCTTGTGGGCTTTGACATGGAGAAGCTCCTTAGTTCGTCTGAGAGAGTCACGAAGAGTGTTTCTCTCTTTGAAGAGCAGAAGCAAGCAGCGCTAGAAGATGCGCAGGTTATGAGGGCAAAGATGCACGAGGCGCTCGACCATTTCTCAAGGTCTTTCTCTTTTTGTTTTGTCTGCGAGCTTCAGAAGCCCGTCAAAGTTTTACAACATTCTATGATGTGAATACAATGGCCATCTTCTTTCTTCAGTTTCTTAATTTTATGTTCAGTCCACTAATGTTTTTCTTTTTGCAATTCTACCTCATACTTCGCTCTTCGCCTTTAAGGAAACGAGGGGATGAATCTAAAAGCCTACTGAGAAGGAATTTGAGAACCCTCATGTTTGTCGTGAACGCCCGCTAGGGTTTTTGTTCAAGATGTTTGCATTTTATTATATATATATTTTTTTTGAGGAGGTAGTTTTAGAGTCATACCACGGTGACTATAGGGAGGTGAGTTTAGAGTCTTGCCTTCGAGACCACAAGTAGAGTGTGTTTTTACAGTCTCTTGCTCGCGTAGGATGTACCCTGGACGATCCTTGCAATAATGTATTGACTTCCCTCGGCGAAGAGAATTTGCCTCGGGATAAAGTCATAAAAGTTAAGGCTTTTAAAGCTTTACTAGTCGTGCGACATTTGGTTACCGAAAGGAGGACCTGTTCCTCAATACAATGAATTCTCTCATGAAGACAACACCGTTGGATTCTTGGCTCATTGCTTTATCACCCTTAAAATGTGTAGCATGGATGGACCAGAACAACAGAAGTGGTTGCAACCCACTGACAACAGTGATGAAAGCTTAATTTTGCTCCCGCGAGATCATGAGGTTCGAATGTTTGAAATTCAAGACAAACGCCAACAATTATACCTGTGTGAACAACCCAATAGTGGGATTAAAAACCTGAAAAGATAAACATAAGAGGTCAACAAGCATTATAAAGATAAGAATTACGCCTTAAAGAGTCCAAGATTCAAATAAAAGGATGAGTCCAAGATAAAGATGAAGGGTGAAGATTCAAAGAAGGAAATTCGTGGTTATCCCTTGAAAAACCATAACCCAACAATATGAAAAGAGGATTTCTCGATTGAAGAGGGGTCGCACATTTTCGATAGACATAGTTCAATAGAGATAAGAATTCTTCTGAGGCTTTTGTCTCAGTAAGAATTAAGAGTGGAAAAGAGAGTGATATTCATGACACGAAGAGAGAGAGATACTCGTCTCCTACGATTCATTTGAGACACGTTCTATACAAACCGCACCTTTTTTTATTTTAAGGCATTGATAATTAATTTTTTTATTTGAGATTAGTTCTCGGATTCTAGAGATCATATCTTCAAAATTTGAGATTTACAAGATATTCTCCGTGAGGAATAAGTTTTTTATTTGAGATTAGTTCTCGGAATCTAGAGATCATATCTTCAAAATTTGAGATTTACAAAATATTCTCTTGTAAAATTTGCGGAAGGGAGTACATAGATAGCACACATTTACAGGAGTATTTCAATTGCACGAGTGTGAGATCTATTTTTTCATCCTCTCTCACTTCACTCTCTATTTAAGGAGAGCACGATAAGAGGTCAAATAGTAACAAGGGCAATCGGAATATTTTCAATACCATTTTTGGCATGGAAGGAGAGACTGAAAAAGAACTTTTCTTTGCGCTCTCTATCCCGAGAGATGAGATCGATAGATGTTCGCACGACATGTGACGCCGCCCCAAAACGATAACCCAGAGAGAGAAAGAGAGAGAGAGAGAGAGGCGCTTGGGGTCTTTAGCGAAGAAGAGTTTAGAGAGAGTGGGTTTGGGGTCTTTAGCGAAGAAGAGTTTAGATGAGAAGAGATATTGGGGCGCCAGTGACGAGGGTTAGCGGCGGCGCAACCAGGGAGCGGGAGGCGCAGAGGAGAGAGAAAGTTTGAGAGAGAGAGGAAGAGAGAAAACCGCTGCTCTGCTCTTTCTTGTATCTATATTTTGGGGAACATGAGTAACGGCAGTAGCAACGGCAATGGGAGGGAGAATGCAATCCCTGCCATCCCTTCTAGTGCAAGAAAGATAGTGCAGAGTTTGAAAGAGATTGTTAACTGCCCTGACAATGAGATCTACGCCATGCTCAGAGAATGCAACATGGACCCCAATGACACTGTTCAGAGGCTCCTTTCGCAAGGTACCGCTACACCGCACTCCTCCACCTCCTCTCTCTATCTTGTTTTATTGAACTCCTTTTTTTGGGTATTTCTCTATTTTCTGTTCCATTTCTGGTTTAGTTGCGTGGCACTGTTTTCCCCTTGCTTCCATGGAAATCTTTTATTTTTGTCTTTTTTTCCTGTTGATAATCTCGACTTTCCTTATGTAGGGTGTTAGGGCATCTGCCCTACATATAGCTTTTTTTTCAGACCTCGACTATCCATCCAACCCATCAAAAAGAGAAAAACAGAATATCTAACTCTAGATATGAAAAAAAATGTATTTTTTGTGTTCTTTGTTTTTAAGTTTTTACTCATCAGAAGGACCTTCTGAAAATCAATTCATGTGTTCTCACGTCGTTTTATGTGATGCATGTTGAGTGAAAGGGTTATTTTTGATAGAGGAGGGAAATGTCTCTTTCTTGTCTGTTGTGGACTGGGTGGGGTGAGAAAATCTGACTATCAAGTGTTAAATTAGGGTTTTGGCCCAAACCACCTGCTTGAAGGCATGAAACATTCTTCATGTGCGCTTGCAGGCTTACTTGTCCTATTGGTGTTTTCTGGTCATTTTGTCCTAGGGTTTGTATACATTCAAATCATCCTGCTCCCAAGTTGTTCCTTCTATTGTTTTTATTGTTATTTCTTTGAAAGTATAAATATTTATTACTGCAGGCTTTCCCCGTGCAAATCCTTTTGTTAGTGTTTTGCTCAAAGGGATCTGACATTTTTCCCAGTTGGGAGTCATTACTATACTTTAACCCTTTTGTTATTTTTTTTTTGGAGAAAATTTAACTTTTGTATTGCTATGAAGAGTTGGAGTACAGTTGTGGGGTGATCTGTGAGTACCTACTAGACGGGTCTCTCGGTAAAAAATAGGTCATCAGACCCTGTACAAAAAATGGGCTTATTGATCTGCACGATTACAATTAGCCCTTTTGTTCTTATTTCTTCTCTTTCTCCAAATTTGATTTTCTCCCCACACAATATGATGTATCCAGTGTTAATACAATTGGTATCACCTTTGTGATCCCAGCAATGGCCGTAGCCTCAGGCCTGAATCTGGCTGTTCCAAGCTTGAGGCCCAATTCAAGAGGCTCTCATTGTATATTTGAAAATAATATCTTTATCTAGATGAGTTGATACAATTATACTTCATCTAATTGAATTCATAAAATTATACTTCTTAGAAAAGACAATTTGTCTGTGCCAAGCTGGTTCTCTATGCAGTTTGTATTCATTGGGTACACTAGGAGTCTTTCCCTGAAGTTGAATTTTGTAATTGCTGTACTTTGTGCTTTGGTTTCTATGGTGCTTTTCATTTATCTAAATATGGGCTAGTTTTCATGTTTCAGGTAATTTTTAGATTTAGAAACTTTGTCCCTTACAAAAAATCACAGTAGGTTTTCCTAAAGAAGAAAAAAAGCAACATCATAAGAAAAGGAGAAATAAAAATATCCAATGGTTGATTGTTCCCCTTTCAGTTTATTGCGCATGAAAAATCTGGACCTCTTCATTGCTTTTATCCTACGGCAGGCGTGTGTTTACTAGGAGTTGACTGTACTGTTGTTGTTTTTTTTTTTTGAGTAAAGTTAACATTTGTATTGCTGTTAGGTGTTGGAATACAGAAAGGGGGGTTCGAGAGTACCCACTAGATGGATCTCTTGGTCAAAAATTAGGTCCGAAGACCCTATACAAAAAATTAGACTTATAGACCTGCCCGATTACAATAGGTATAGCGAGAGTACCCACTTTACTGTTGTTTTTTTCTGGTCCTTCTTTTGACCCTTAATTTTATAGGTGTATGTTACCAGTATTTTGGCGGTGGTCAAAGGGTTGGTTATTCCCATGACTTGGGTTCTGGCCTCTGGTGCTTTGTAATGTGATCTAAAGAGATGAATTATCTACGCTTCTATTGAACCCTCTCATTTCAAGATGTAAAGAGGGAAGCCAATGTTGAAGCTGATACACTTCCCAATGGAGGTGGTCCACAAGTTTCATTATTGATGGATGAATTTCTTTCTTAGATTACTACGATGCTGCCTTGGCACCTTTTTTATTTTTCTTTAATGCTTTTGTGTTCTTCCTAGCATATTTCTTTTTTTTCTTTTTTTTTTTTTAAAACTTTTTGCGTTTATCAAAATGTTTGTTGCCAAGGCCTGACTGCTGGAAAACAGGCATTCTATTTGGTGAAATTTTCTGCTGTCATTTTGAATGGGTGATGATTTGGTTCATTTTGAATCATTCAAATATTCTCCTCATCCCTAGACACATTGATTTGTGATTGGTATTTTACCCCTGAGTCTATATTGGTCACCTCTAGGGAAGGGTTTCATCTGATGCTTTTTCTGAAATTACATATTTTGATTCAATTCTGGGGCATTTGGGGCCTTTATATTGGTGTAGTGGATGTTTCAAACACAGGAATGGTTAGTTTATCATGTAATTGTAGCGTGTTCACCCATTCGTTGACATATCCAGAAAGTGAGAAATGGATTACATTCATAGTCACTTGTTCATACAGGTATTGCTGGATCACACGACCTGTGCTTGTCCTTTCAACATGGGTATCTCTATAGTTCTGAAATATCTCTGTGTCAGAGAGTTAACTTCTGAAATTTTTACTTTTCAAATACATGCTAATTTATGCTTGTATGTTTGTGTTATGGTTAAGGTAAACATATTGAGTTTTGGTTGCCTACTTCGTGAAAATTCCTTTTGAGTTGGAGCTTCATATAAATTGCTTAATGGGGTTGCTGTCAGATGAAAGCATTTGAAGCTGCACCCTTCTAATAATTCTGCCAGCATTATGTTTTGGGATGACATGATGTCATACTGACAAGGGTTTGCAGTATGCAGTTGTGACTTGGGAACTTCTCTAACCTGTTACTGAATATGTGCTGCTTATCTTGAGAGATGTGAGGTCTGCAGGGATTCATTCTATTATTGAGTGTTGTCATTTTTCCATGGGATGTCGGTGCTGAGGCTGTTTATTTGGAGTCTCTCTGCCAGTCATTCCAAGTTACAATGAATCGCTGCACAATAGATACATAATAAGGACAAAGGAGAAGAATGTAATGCCAGGAATTTCTTGATTTATGCTTCTAGTGGTTTCATGCCCTTATTTCAACACAATAGACACATAATAAGGACAAATCCCATTAACATATAACAAAAATTTTGAAGTCCAATATATATATACTTTTGAAGTTCTTGAGGTCCAATATATATAGCAAACTGCCTAACCATTTTCATTAATCACTATTTAAGATTGTAATTGCTACACCTTTGTTTCGAATAGGAGAAAGGTACAACGACCTGAAGAATTAACATTTATTACTGAGCTCGAACTGCTATTCAGCATGGGCTACAGAGATAAAACAGATTGATTTTGATTCTTCAGTAATGCAGTATGGTCTTATCATAACATCATCTGTCCTTGATGGTCGAATATCATAGTATCAATGCAAATGCAACAGTTGTTAACACCCAAGATCATCTGTAACATTAGTTGCTTCTTTTTCGGTGTTGATTCTTTTAATGCTCTTTGTTTCTAGTTAGATTTGCTGCCAGTTTATTTTCTTTACCTTTCCCTTCTCAGTTTGGGAATATTTCTTGTTTTGGGCATTTCATGAGGATGTATTCACTTCTCACAGGTAATGAGTTAGTGTTTGCCATTATATAGATTAGCCCCAGGCTGATGTGGAGAATATTTAGCTTGTTCTTTGTTGTTGGAAGTTTGAAATCGCGTATCTGACCTAATGCTTGTCAATGTTTTAGATACCTTTCATGAGGTGAAAAGCAAAAGAGAAAAGAAAAAGGAGGTTAGTAGAGAGTTCCCCTTGGGAATGCATTGTGGCTAAAAGGTTATCTTTCATTTTTAAATGCATTCGTTGCTTGTTACTTCATGCTGCTCAATATCTTCAGCAGCCAAGGAAACACTTCATGTTCTTGATTTTAGCTAAGATGCCATTCTACTATACTACCATCAAGAGGTTTCTCATGAAATATTACTGCTTCACCTCCGAGCTTTATAGTTTAGTTAACCAAAAAGGAAAAAAAGAAATATTATTACTACAAATTACGTAAATATTTTTGTTGGAAACTTGGAATTCCTCTGATAAAAATGAGAATTTTTATTTGAAGCCTTTCACCAGCTGGTTATTTTGTTTGTCCTAGTTTTCTGTGTGGTCTCATTGTTTTGCTGTTTTCCTTTTGTTGCTTCTAGATCAAGGATACTGCAGAGCCAAGGTCACGAATTGTTGGCAGTGCTACAAATCGTGGAGGCAGGGTTGGAGCAGCAGACCGTGGTGTTGGGCGTGCTGCTTCTACCCCTTATAACTCCAGTGGTATGTAAGTGTAATAATGAGTTTCCATCCTTTTAGGCTTCCAAAATGAGTTTTTTATTAGTTCATTAACCAATGGATAGATTTACTAGTCAAACACTTGTGTGTTTCACTTTGGTTTCAGAATCTGGAGGGACGCGTCCTAAAGTTTCATACAAGAAAGAAAATGGTACAAGTTCTTTGTCGTCGTTTTCAGTATCTGGTATGGCAGGAAGTAGTATCAGCCGAAGATCTACATCTCCTAGGTTAGTCCATGAGAAACCTTTATATGAGAAGTTGTTTCATGCTTTACTATAATTTTTAAATTGTCTTGTTTTACCCCGCAAATTATATGTGTTTGCACTTTAAATGTGAAACTGGTAAGAAAGTTTCTACTATCTCTTACTTGTCTTGGCTTTATTTATAAGGTTGCGCAATTAGTTTACGACCAAGCATTGAAGGGCCACTTGTGTGGGTTGAAATGGTGTTGATCTGGAAGTTAATTCTGTATGCTACTTGTTTTATAATTGCTAGTAATCTTATGTAGCACCATAAATGCCTATTTTAGGCAAGCTATTAGACGAGGCTGACTTCTAGAATGTAATACTGTGTGGTAGCTACTACATATTTGATGACAAGGTATCACTTGATAATATTAGTCAACTAGTAAAAGCACAGAAGTGTTAAGTCACATCCAGGACATAACCATGGGATTTAACTAAGACCTTTGATTTGTTCCAAGAAATTCAAGCAGATCATAATTTTTTTATAGGTCGTGTTGCAACGATTTGGGCTGATATTTTTCAGAAAAAATGATTTGGGTCACATTGTTTGTTTGTTTTTTCTCCCTCTCTCTCTCTCTCTCTCTCACTCTTTTTGATAAACATGATGACTTGAAAAATTGAAGTGCATGATGACCGAAGCACAAAAACATTGGCTAATAAACATAGTTTGGTACATTAACGATTTTTAGTTTGAAAAACTCGTGTTTGGGCCGAGTTACTCAGTTTGGTAAATTAAATCTGCCGGAGTTACTGCCAAAATAAATCATGTACTTTGTGGTAGTGCATATACCATTATAGATTTTTTCCAAGTTTAAATCCTGGTATTGTGCCGGTGCTAGAAAACTGAAACTGAAAGAGTCCAAGTGTATCCGAGGTGGTTAGTGGACTTGTTTTTAGTATTGTTTTGGCTATCCTTTATGCCATAGTATTTGTAAGGACTCTTTATGTAAAGAGTATCAGTGACCTATTTTTTAGTAGCTGGAGGCTGGATCTATCTGGACTAATGTGTATGTGTCCTTAACTATTGGGAATTCATGAATCTCTTCTAGCATACAGCAACCACCATCAAGAGAGCATTGGTCCTTTCTGTGACTGAAAACCTATGTGATTGTAATTTCCTTTACACCCTTGCGATGCTGAAGTTGATAGCAGTGTATTAAAAGGCTCTTGAGGTGGCTGCCACGCTCCTAGGCCTAACTTCCTCTGTGGGTTTGAACTAGTGTAGGAAAATTTGGGCTGTTCAAATCGTAACCGCCCGATTAGGTTTCGGCCGATTTTGGTGAACCAGTTGGGTATTTTAAAAAAATTCAAAAAATTATATAAAATCCCAAAATTTAGGGATTTTGTTTGTAATGCATTTTTTAATGTTTTTGATCTTTTTGGCAAAGATTGGTAATTGTTTTGGCCATGTTTCCATTAATACTTATTTTTACATTTTTCCATCTTTTTTTGAAAAATTTCAAAAACATCCCAGGGCACAAATCAATTCTTTAAAATCCATTTTTTTCATTAATTTTTCAATTTCATTTGGATGTGTTTTGTTTAATCATGCTTTATTATTATTTTTTTATTTTCTAACACTTTTTGACCGCCCGGGATTTGCCCGGTGGAACTGCTTCCGGCCCCATATCCGATGAACCGTTTCCGTTCGATTTTTCCTACACTGGTTTCAACCCTTGTTTAAGGTTTGGGGAAAAGGATAGTGGCCGTATTCCAACCTCCAAGCTTCTCTAAATCTCTTTCTTGGGGAATGAGAATTAAATTGTTATATGTAGTTTTCTTTTTTAGTACTTCTGTTTGTAGATATGGTTCATTATCATTCATAGGCAGCTGTAGTGGTAAATGGTGTGTACTATATGCATTTGTGTTCTTGTTAAGGTTCTTTTTGAGGTCACATAGTGTCACTTTCATGCAGTGATTATAACTTTGGACTCAGGAATGGAACTGTGCAGGGGCCGATCCTGAGTCACCTGGTTTGACTTCCATGAGTCTTAACAGGATTGGGCTATGAAATATTAATGCTGTAACCCCAGGAATTGGTGAGACTCAGATGATTCTTGAGGTTTTCCATTGGGAGCCTCCTCGTTGCTGGGTTCGAGTGACTTGGATGAGTCGGAGCTCAAGACGTGGAGTTTTTAAACATTGTTACTACATTGTATCACTACGCACCTACATAAAAAGAATCACAGCCTCACAACCTTATCGACACAAATAGTGACATTTTAAAAAAAGGCTATTTATATGTGTGCGCGTCCCCATGCATGTCTGTGTGCGTGTTGGCCTAAAGTTTTATGTTCAAATAGTGATGCTGGGCATGCTAATTATTTTCCTCGATATTGTAACTCTTTTTTTCTTCTTTTGGTTGAAATTCTTGAAGGAATTATCCGGATAAGAAAGTGGCTGTATTCTGTCGGGGTTTTTTTTTAGGGAAAAGTTTATATAGAGCCGAGGCTCTAAACAATCAAATTAGAGCCCACCTCAAAAATTTCACTAGGGGGTCGTTTGGATACCTGGAAATATATAATATATTACGGGTACTGAGTAATACATTACCTGCAAATGGATTGTCAATGTTTGGGTAGTATTTAGATGCAACTTGGTTAATACATTGCTACTATTTGGCTATGTATGGAAGAAATATGAGAAATGCATTACCATCCAAATATGAAAAATATGGCTATGTTTGGCTAACATGATTAGACTTTGGTTTCAACATGATATGTCATTGGAATAATATGATTGGAAATAACCTAATTTTATTGTGATAAGCCTTATTTTTATTTATTTTTTATGGAAGTCTTTCAAATGTCTCTCTATATATAATTTCAAATAAGCAATAAATTTATGATATCAAAATCAAAATCTTTATATGTAATTTCAAATAAGCAATAAATTTATGATACCAAAATCAAAATATTTGGTACAAGTTAAAAAATAGGAAGAAGTTTGATCAGTAAACTAAAAGGTTTGGTAATTGCAGTAGAAAATTTTGAAGCATTGGAGGAGACTAAAAAGGTATCTTATTTCAATTGAGCTTTTACTAATCTCTTATGAGGATTATGTTGTGTGAAATTTTTTATTATGATTGTATTGTATAATTTCTTATTGATTACCAATTATTATTTTTAGTCTTATACGAGAGCTGGGGGCGGGCTACAACCCAAATTGGAGAAAGAGGGATATAGAAATTTTTTTATTATGATTGCAGTAGAAAATTGTCCCTCATCAATTAGATTTGCCCTTACTTTCACTTACCAATTATTAAAAATTTTTGTTTCAAATCAATTTAGATTTGCCTTTACTTTCACTTACCAATTATTAAAATTTTTTGTTTTTATACGAGAGTGATGAGGGCTACAACCAAATTGGGGAGAGAGGGATGTAGAAATTTTTTTTATGATTGCAGTAGAAAATTGTCCTCGTACACCTGTTCAAATCAATTTAGATTCCCCTTTTCATATCCCTTACTTTCACTTTCTACTTACCTTAATAATTATACAATGCATTCTACTTACCTTAATAATTATAAAATACAGCGTATAATTGAAAGAGGGAAATGTTTTTTAAGCGGGGATAGGGTAGAGAGATGTATGCGAACGATTTTCAAAGATTACCCGTCAGCCTCGTAATAGATATTTCACCGTTCGGGAAATCTTAGGTAATCTCGGTAATCTCTGTCCATTTCCTTACTATTAAAGTGTATCCAAACAGCGCAAATGCCATATTTCCGTTTAATTTATTGTCACGTAATAGATTTCCATGTACTCAAACGGCCCCTAGAAGAAGTTGTTTTGATTACCAAATATCTTTAAATTGATCATCTTGAGATCATGATCCGTGTACATGAGAAAAAAATGAATTTCAAGTTTTGGAAATAGTGCATCTTGCAGCGCTTTTTTGGATCGTCGATTTTCAAGTTGTTATAGATCTACTTGATTTGCACTATTTTTGAAGCTTTTCCTCGACACCATTTAAAGATAGGCTCGAATTTGATTTGTTTAGGGCCTCGGCTCTATACAAACCACACCCTTATATATATATAGTATATATATATATATATATACTATATATATAA